AAGTAAATTAGCAACTTGTATAATGTGCTTGCCCAAGGAAAAGGGTAAGAATAAATATTCAAGAATATAATCTAGCAACTCAAAGATCCATTTGATGTTATAGGTCCATGCACATTTAAGTATAATCATTTCTAACTTCAAAGTTTCTTATAGTGTTTTTCCTAGTTTTTGTTAGTAGTTAGACCACAACTGGCCAAATATATGAGATGATTTAGAATAACGGATGCTATTCTCATGCAGTACTATTTTCAAGTATATTATTCATTGAAATTTTCTTTCTCTGGTCCTTTTTAACCCCATTTTCTTTAGCAGTAATTCATTTTTCATTGCCAGAAACTTCTTTTGTTCTGTGACACTGAATTCTCACTGATTTGGGGACACTAGTGTGCCTCTGGTTTTTTTCATATAACCATGATCACAATTTGAGCATAATTTTAATATACTGTATGTGAGAGAGAGAGATAAAGGCAATTTTGCCCTAAGAACATGCTCTTCAACTAACTTCACTAACTCCTTTCTCTCCATAATGACTCCTCGGGTACTCAAATGCACTATCTCCTACAATCCTTTGTAACTAAACCTCTTAGATTTATATTTTATTATAGGGAAATTTAATTCATTTACCTACGTTTATACATATCCATTGGTATGACATCACTGATATTTAAAAGTCAAGCCAGCCTTTTTTTAAAATATATTTTTACTGATTTCAGAAAGGAAAGGAAAGGGAGAGAGAGAGAGAAACATCAATGATGAGAGGGAATCATTGATCGGCTGCCTCCTGCAGGCCCCACACTGGGGATCAAGCCCGCAGGGGGTAATCCAGGCATGTGCCCTTGACCAGAATTAAACCCAGCACCCTTTAGTCTACAGGCCGACGCTCTATCCACTGAGCCAAACCAGCTATGGCATGATCTTAGTTAACTTGGGTATTCTCTTAAGAGAGAATTCTTCTTTTGGCCTATGTATCAGACATAAATCCAAGTTGCAAATACAGAATCCACTCTAGCTAATTTAAAGGGAAAG